GCAAAATCAAGCAACATGCACATTGTCATAAAATCTCAGCCAGGTTGTAGATCGATGGAGAGTATGGAAGCTTAGTGCCGAAGTATCAATCCCCACTGTCAGTTGTCGGAATAAGCCCATTTATTTCCAAGTCGGGGACGGTAAGGGGCTCGGAGGGTGAACTTGCAGGGGGTGGTGTTCCCATGTACCTGCTGCCCCTTGTCCTTCTGGATGGAAGTGGTCATGGGTCTGGAAGGTGCTGTCTAAAGATCTTCAGTAAATTGCATCTTTTAGACAGTACACACTGCTGTTACTGAGCGTCGGTGGTGGGGGGAGTGGGATGTTTGTGGATGTGGGGCCAATCGAGCAGGGGGCTGCTTTGTCCCTGGATGGTGTCGAGCTTCTCGAGTGTTGTTGGAGCTGCCCCCATCCGGGGCAAGTGGGGACTATTCCATCACATTCCTGACTTGTGTCCCTTCGAATTCTGAACATTTAAATGCGTACATTCTTCCGGAGTTTGCAATCTAGTATTTCAATGAGATTTCACTCGGTTCACGGCAATAATAGAGTCTTGCAATCTTCCCATTTTTACTTTTGGATTCATGACCGGAGCTGCATTTGCCTGTCTTTTGAAAAAAGTGAGAAGACGGTGTTTCTTTTTAAAAAATTGGCAGGTCCGCTTGCTTCCTCACAATGTCATCTGCAATGAAGTCACTTGTTTACCTCCTGCTGGCCTCTGCCATCTTGGCGAATCTATCATTGGCGCAACACTGGTCCTTCGATCTGCGTCCTGGTGGGAAGCGAGCGGCCGGTGACACTGTCGTTGGAGCCTTCCAGGATGTAGGTATCTCGATTTCACCTTCCTGTAAGGTAGTTGGAGGCCATTCAGCCCTTCCGAGTCCTATTTCTGCCATTCAGTGGACGGCCTGACCATCCCCCAATTTCACACCCCTCCTCGCCTTTCCTAGCCCTCCATTCCCCTTCCTGATTACAATCCAGCTCGGCCTTGTGTAGGCTTTACAATTCCACTGACTTAGCCCCCTCCTCGGAGACAGGAAATTCCTCCTCATCTCTCTGTCTTCTTTATTCTGAGATCACATCCCAGACTCTCCCAGGAGGGAGAGGGCCAAGCTATGGAAACAGGAGCAGGAGTGGGCCATACGGCCCATCGAATCTGCTCTGCCGTTCAATACGATCTGTCTGTACCCTAATCCTGCTCTCCCCCATATCCCATCGATCCCTTTAGCCACAAGAGCTATATCCACCGCCTTCCCGATAACAACAAATCCCGACTTCTCCGATCTCCACACCCGCCATCATCTAACATCCTCCCCATCTGCAAGACGTGGGCTGGAAATTTCCCGAGCGTTTTCTTGCGTCGGAATGCTTCGCGAGGCTTCCTCCCAACCTCTCAGAGGGTCAGTGGACGTCACACCGCGGTCTCCTAATGCTGGTGTTCGTGTTGTTTCAGGCTCCCCAGGACGCTATCAACAAAAGGACTGAGATTTTCTCCCTGGACTGCCCCGGCTGTCTCCCGGTAAATCCAATTCCTGACAAACGCCACTTGGGGTCAGGATTGCTCCGTGCATCGGTCCGAGTACATCGATCCAAACTTCGGGAGTGTTTTCCTAGCTAACTTTCTGCATTCCCCCCCTAGCGTTTCTATAGCCTTCCCAAGTGACACTATCTCTTCAGTCCTCTGGGTTGATGACAGATAATCGAGAACTTGGACCTTTCCAATCGTTGATTCGTTGCAAATGTACCGTCTTGGCATCCAATAACACCCTTTAAAAGCTCAGCCCAGTGATCCCCACCCATGGCCTCGGCTGGTGGTGTTGTGGGCCCGCTAGCTCCTGAGAGATGCTTGTTGCAAGTTCCAATCATGCTCCTGTTGACGTGACTGGTTTAAAATTTTCGGAATTAAAGATTAGGCTGGTCAAAATAGACCTGATTACCCCATGTCCTTCAGGGAAGGAAACCTGCCAATCTGGCGCAGTAGGGAAAGATTTTGATCCCCTTTAGATTAGCCTGAGTTCTGGCTTCCACCTCAAGGCTACGAATCCGTCTTTGATCCCGATTTTCTGCCTCCGCTGTTAAAGGTTTTGATTGTTGTTCGCTTCCTGGGGTAGCACCTACTTTTCTGTAAGGGCGGAAATATAGGAGCAGGAGAAGGCCATTCAGCCCTCATAGCCTTCTCCATCATTCGATGGGCCGAACAGTCCCCTGTTTCCTTCTTTCTCCCTGAGAACGACGTCAAACTCCTCCTTGAAAACATTTTCGAGGTTTAGCCCTCGCCCAGAATTCCCACAGGCTCCCCACTCCCCGGGTGAAGACCTTTCCCTCTCATTTCTGTCCTACCCCATACCTGTAGACCATGACCTCCTGGTTCTGGGGATGGGGGGGTGGTGGTTGCGGTTGTGGGTTGGGGGTGTGTTCGGATGTGGCTTTGCTGTGTGCTGACCCCTCTGATGCCCTCGTTTATCCCTCCAGGCAAAACGTTCACCAAGGAAGAAGAAACTGTGATGTGGAACCACAAGACGACTTTAGCCCTCGAAGGGCAACAGCCTGGACTTTCAGCTCTTGTTGAGAAAACCAGCATTTCTTATGGTGTTACTGATCAAAGGAAATAAAAGATTTTAACTCTTGATGAGTCTCTGTGTCTTTTCCCTCTTGTTAATTCACACAAATGCTCCCCCTTGGGTAAAGAGTTCTTTACAGCACTCACAGGAATGTAGAAACCAGGGCAAGCGTAGACCACAGCTGATCCTCAATCTCCCGCTCTCTCTTTCCCCACACCCCTCAATACTTTTACCCTTCAGAAATCAATCTCTTTCCTGAATATATTCAGCAACTTGGCCTTCACAGCCTTTGGGTCATAGAGTCATGCAGCATGGAAACAGACCCTTACCTTGTCGGGACTCCACAGCAACATGGTTGTCTCGTGACTGCCCCCCTCTGGCCAATTAGGGATGGGCAATAAATGCTGTCCTATCCAGCGATGTCCTTATCCCATGAATGAATAAAGGAAAATGGTCACCCCTCAGCTTCTGACGCTCCAGGGAAAATAGTCCCAGCCTACTCAGCCTCTCCCTGTAGCTCAAACCCTCCAACACCAGCAAAATCTTTGTACATCTTATCTGAACCCTTTCAAATCTCACAACATCCTCCCTATAGCAGGGAGGCCAGAACTGCACACGGTATTCCAAAAATGGCCCTAACCAATGTCCTGTACAGCCTCAACATGACCCTCCCAACTCCTATACTCAATGCACTGACCAATAAAGGCAAGTGTACCAAACACCTTCTTCACCGCCCTGTCTACCTGCAACTCCACTTTCAAGGAACTATGAACCTGCATCCTGTTGGGCACAGGCGGGAAGTTAGAATTTGTCAGTAAAAATGATCGTGGGGGAAAGAGTGCTGTGGTCCCTTTAAAAGCTTTGCTTTGCCTGTGCTTGGTAGTTTATAAATGCAGGTGCACACAGGCAGTGCCCGAATGAAAACATTTTGTGTAGAACAGCTAAGCAGCAATTTTTTCCAAGACAACAAGTTTGAATTTGGCCAGTTAATTTAAACCAAGCACCTAGAAACATAAAGCCAATTGAGTTTAAATCTGATGGCGTTAACAACCTGAAACCAATCACGTTATAAGAGTTTGATTATGTCGTTACGGGTATATAAGACGAGGCCATTTGGAAAATTGGGGAGAGCCATCAGCCATCTGCTAGAGTTAGCACCATTCAGCTCTCAGAGAAAGCCCATCACATTCATCAAAGGTCCCACCATATTTTAGCTCAAATTCCTCATTGAAGAAATTATAGAGGTAAAAAAATCCTTGACAGCAGAATTAATGGAAGAAAGGTGTTTGTGAAGAGACTGGAGATGTCAAAATATTCCAGAAGATAGTCAACTGCGAACTTGGAGAGATTAAGTTACAATTTATTGCTTCTTATTCATTGGGTTTATATTAGTGGGACCTGTCTTTAATTAAACAGCGTTCCAGTAGAATTTAGACCAGTTATGGAGTAGTTAGTAGTCTAAGGGGGGAATTGTTGGTTTGTTAGGAATTTTGTTAATTTGTTCATTGTTGGGTTAAATAAATAAATGGTTTCTTGTTATGTGTAAAGTGGAGATCAGGGATTTTCTTTCTTTTAACCACACTTTTAATAGATTATGTGGGGAAAGACGAGCTGCTCTGGGTGTTTAGGGGATAATTGTTAGAGGGGAACCCCTACTCCTGTCATAGCAGATTGGGGTTTGAGTTTTAGTTTAACTATCAGAGGGATTCAGCCATTTCCCCCTCAGTAAAATTATTAAAGGTCTTTTTGTTCGGCAACACCCCCCAGGCCCTTACCTTTAAGTGTATAAGCCCTGCCCTGATGTGCCTTTCCAAAAATGCAGCCCCTCACATTTATCTAAATTAAACTCCATCTGCCACTCCTCGGCCCATTGGCCCATCTGATCGAGGTCCCGGTGTACTCTGAGGTAACCTTCTTTACTGTCCACTACAACCTCCAATTTCAGTGTCATTTGCAAACTCACTAACCGCACCTCCTATGTTCACATCCAAATCATTCATATAAATGATGAAAAGCAGTGGGCCCAGCACCGATCCCTGTGTCGAGTCTGAAAGACAACCCTCCACCATCATCCTTTGCCTTGTACCTTTGAGCCCATTTTGGGAGCCTTCTGTAGGAGGGAATTCCACAGGTTGACTATAACCTCCTGAGTGAAGAAATGTTTCCTCGTCTCAGTCCTACCTCGTATCTGGAGACTGGGTGCCCCCCCCAACTACTGTTCTAGACTTCCCTCAACCAGGCGAAATAAATCTATCAAGCCCCTATTGGCATTCTTTATGTTTCAATCAGATTCCCCCTCTCGTTCTTCTGAACTTCAGTGAATAGAGGCCCAATCTCACCTCATGGGACAGCCCTGCTATCCTTGGTATCAGCCTCGTGAACCTCCACTGCACTCCCTCTATATCTTCTCTCACAGTAGGCCTGGAGCCTGGACTCTTGGTGATGACGGTGCCCAAAGTGAGGACTCCTGGCGGCATTAGGCCCGGAGCCGGACTCCTGGCGGCATTAGGCCTGGAGCCTGGACTCCTGGTGGTGGTAGGCCTGAAGCCTGGACTCATGGCAGCAATAGGCCCGAAGCCTGGACTCTTAGCAGTGTTGGACAGCAGAAGGGCCAGGACCTCCTGGGGCATCGACGCCGGCATTGTTGTTCCTGGAGCGGAGATCCTTGAGGCTCAGGAGCACCTTTGGGTCCTTGCAGAAGCCCTGAAGCCATGCTCGAGACCCCAATTTGAAGAGAAGATTTATGTAATTTTTATTTTATCCTTATTGTAAGTAAAAATGACGCCGGATTGTGACGACAAAACACTTTTCACTGTGTCTCCAGGATATATGTGACAATAAATAAATCATGCGTTCAATACTCCAGGAGTGGCCCCACTGCTCATCTATATTCATCGACTTGCTTCTGAATTTTTCCACCACAGAAGCGTTTATCAAATTGACACAAGTCATCACAACTCTGTTACAGAATCCTATAATACGTCCCTTCGTCCCAACGAGTCTGTCCTGTCAAAAATACACCGAGTTGTGTGATCATCCCATTTTCTAGGCCCAAAGCCTGACACTTCAGGCCTGTGGTGCTTTTGTAAGACAGAGGCGAATGGTTTGGCTGAAGGGGTGGATTAAGCACCTTCGAGGGAGGTAGGCAGCCGAAGGCACGGCCTCCAATGGTGGAGCGATGGGAATCGGGGGCTTAGAGACATCAGAGAGTTTTTGGGTCTCCTGGATATAGGACAGAGAGTGAAAGGCTGTGGAGGGATATGGTACCATGGGATGCGAATGTTAAAAGTGAGGCCTTGCCAGGGTGCAGGCCAGTGTAGGTCATTGCTTTTGTGTCTTTGATTGACAAACCCAATTTGTAAATTCTCATTAAAAAAAACCTACGCATTCCCAATCTCAGACAGCAACCCTGTTGCTATGGTATCTTTTGTCATCTGAGCATTTAATTAAATTTCCCTTGCCATTGTAAAGAAACACTTAAATCATTTATTGTAAACCCATCTGCTTTTTTTCTGAGCTAACTAAGGTCAAAAATTAAGCTTTGGAGGATCAAAGGATGGTTCTCAATCACAAAAAGCTGATTAAATTTCCTCACAAAGTCGTCTTTAAATGGGTTTCTTAACACCTTTTTTTTTAATTCTCTAGGTCTCAAAAGCCTGGGCCTTGAGTAGCACTCGCTCCCCAGGACTCCCATCTGTCAGGTGGGCTGAAACGGTGCGGCCTGTTCTTCCAGGTCTCGCGGATTTACCTCGGGATCCTTTGCATTTTAAGTGAGAGTTTGGAGGAAAATGGAGGTTTTTCTTAGTCACAGTGGGTAGCATCAAAAATGTCACCCAGCCAGGTGGGAGATGCTGCCTAGGATTAAACACTAGGCCCCCACTTCCACAACTCTCTGAAATTGAGCCAATCGTGGAATGGGGAATTGCGATGGGGCTTTGCGTAAACATTCTGCAGCATCTGATAGTGCCGAATGAGACCATTTGGCTCATTGTTGTAGGGACGGGTCTCGCTCAAATCCATTTGTCCGTGCCGCCCCATTTTCACAATTGATCGAGTCCCATTTGCCTGCATTTGGTCCATATCCCTTCATACCCAACCCATCCGTGTACCTGTCCAAATGTTCATCAAATGACAAAATTGTACTCACCACTACCTCTGGCAACCCGTTCCAGACACTCACCACCCTCTGTGTGAAAATATTATCCCTCTGGACCCTTTTGTATCTCTTCCCTCTCACTTATGCCCTCTAGTTTTACACTCCCCTACCCTGGGGAAAAGCTGCTGGCTATCCATGCCTCTCATGATTTTATAGACCTCTATAAGGTCACCCCTCAGTCTCCTACGCTCCAGGGAAAAATATCCCAGCCTATCCTTAGAACTCTCCTTATAACTCAAACCTTCCAGTCCAGGTAGCATCCCAGTAAATCTTTTCTGCACTATTTCTAGTTGAGTAATATCCTTTTTTGTAGTAGGGTGACCAGAACTGCACACAGTGCT